AATTTCAGCTTCTTATCATCAAAATTGGTTTCTGACCTCTTCATAGGAATTGTGCATCTTTCTCTTAGCTTTCCTACAAATCAAGAATCACAATGAAAGGAGTTCTACAACTCAAGATATGGTCCAGAAACCAAAACAGTATCAGAATTTGCCGAATATTGGAAAAATTAAATAAAGCCCAAATAAAATTCAAACATCATAAAATGATCCAATTCAAACCAATTAGGCACAAAAGAGGATTAATGAGCTAGGAATGAGAGGAAATAAGGTTATAAAAATCCAATTGATCAGTAACTTTATCCTATCTCACTTGAGCGAGAATGCTCTAGAATCACCTGGTCCAAAACATTCAATGTTGCTTAAGCGGGATCTCCTGCAACTATCACCATTTAAACTTTTCTAATTCCAAACAACATGCACAATAGCCTATCTCACCTAGGCAAGAGGATAGTAGGGGGTAATTTTATCCTATCTCACTTGAGCGAGAATGCTTTGGAATCACCTAGTCCAAAACGTTCAATCTCGCTTAAGCGGGATCTCCTACAACTATCACCATTTAAAATTTTCTAATTTCAAACAATATGCACAATTAATTAACATAAAATGCACAAATAATAAAAGCAAAATTAAGGATATTGCAAAAGACACTAATAAAGAAAGTAAATGTTTGAACCTATGAAAAAAAAAGACATTAATGACACTAGTAATGAAAGTATATGACATGATGTTCAATATGGTGAAAAGGGTTAAAAAGACTTAGAATAATATTTGAGAGAATTATTAAAAAGAATCTTATAATTCATAATATTTTAGTTTGATAAAGCTTAATAGTATTGTATGATTCATGTACGCAACCTTATCTAATGGGATACGACTTGATTATTATTATTGTAGTTGTAGTAGTATTCAATAATATATAAATAATTTTTTAATAAAACAAAAGTTATTGTTTATTCTATGATTATTTTTTAATTAATTTAAAATTAGTTGTCATATTTAAATCTTAACATATATAAATTAAAATTAGATTGATAAAATTTAAGTAAAACATATAAATAGTATACATATTTTAAAATAAAAATATTAAAATTAATTAGTTTGATTAATTTAGATAAAAAAAATGCATGGTATCATATTTTATAACTCCCTATATTTCATAAATAATATTGCCTTAATTTAATTTGTATACATATAATTATTTTTTATAAGATCATAATCATTTTCTAAATTTATAATATAGTAAATTATAATTTTTTTAAAAATATACATTTTTTAAAGTAAGAGTATTATATGAATAAAATAATAAATATAATTTTTAGTCTATTACTTTTGATTTCATTTTGTTTGGTCTCCTTTTATCAAATTAAACATAACCTTTATAAATATAGTAGTTTTTTTTTTCAAAATTTATTCCAAGCTAATGTTTTGTATCTATTAAAATTTTGCAGTGTCAATTATTTTAACTATAATAAATATACTTTATTTTTTTGTACAAAATATTATTTTCATTTTCATATATACATTTTAAAAAAATTAATATAAAAATGAAATTTTAATTATTATTAATGAAAGCATACTTATTCAAAATAAAAAATAAAGAGATCTTTGTTGAAATTAGATTTGTCTTATAAAATGACAAATTCAAGAAACTTAATCTGAAGCATGACTTAAAGAAAGCTATTTTAATCTCCTCTCGATAGGCGATTTTTGTTTTCAAACTTTTGATCAAATTTAAATAATTTTACAAACTATTTATAAAAAGAAGTATTAAAAGTAATTTATTAAATTTTGATGCATTAAGTTATATCTTTTTAAAATCGTTTGTCATTGTCTTTCTATCTTAAATCAAGTCAATGTTTATAAGTTTTTGTAAAAATATGGTGTTGCACAGTAAAAATGTGACTATTTTGGTGTCAACTAATCGCACCAAATCATTCTTTCCAAAGGTAGAAATACTAACCTTTGGTAGTCTTCAACATTATTAAAAATTGTTATTACACAATGATTAAATTAAAGAAGGTTTTGTTAAAGAATTAAATATCAAAAAAGTTGTTTAGTGGTGTAGAATAAAGCTCTAATGTCTAATATGTGTAAAAATAGTATTTTTGTTGGGATTTAGTACAAAGTTATGTGTTTATTATGGTCTTTTGTCATAGAATTAATGCTAACTTCAAATTTTTTATTTACTTTAATGGTAATTTTTTATTTTGGTGTGCTTGTTGCTGGTCTTTGAGTGAGATTTGTTTTTTAACTTGATAACATAATTAGTTAAAGTGTGTAAAGAGAGGACAAGATTCTAGAGTATGATGGGGAGGGATGGACATATCGGATGATATTGACCATGACAAAGTTTGTGTATGGACACCAAAGGAGGTAGGAAATCTCATGGGTATGTTGGTGTTAAGATATGAACTTCCATGTTAGCATATTAAAAACAAATTGAAGCGTCTTTAAATAAAAGGGTTATCACTCTAAACGGCAGGAAGACATTTTAGATAAACAAGTCACTAAAGCTTGAACTCGTTTACACTCCTTCATTCTTGAATCAAGGTCACATTTCAAAGATTAGAGTATGATATCACAACTCAGATAAAAAAATAAAAGGAATAACAAAGGCCTAACGATAAAAAAAGGGTTAAGCACAAAAATTTATTTAGAACTTTGGCGTTAAAATCATTAAGAGGGCATAACCTCAAGCAATTAAGAAATGACAAAGCTAGTTAGACTTGAGGGAGAGTATTAACATATAAAGTCTCACATTAGTAGATTAGCAATACATCAAAGGATACACAACTAAAATGGTTTCAACTCTAAAATTGTATAAGACATTTTAGATAAGTAGACTACTCAAGCCTGGTTTTCATTCACTCTTTTTTATTTTTTAATATTGGATTGGATTCACATTTCAAAATCTTACTATGGTATCAGAATCCAAATAAAAAAAAGAACAAATGCTAAATAAAAAAAGGGGTCAAGTATAAAAGAAAGACACCCACACAAACATAAAAGAAGTGCCCAAAAACTAGTTGGACTTTGAGAACCAATGTTAAGATAATAAAATCTCACATCGGTGGATTAACGAGATAAATTAAACGATATTTAAGCATAAGGGTTATAATTCTAATAGCTTAAGACTATAAGATAAGTGAGTCATTTAAGCTTGAACGTGATCTTTCTCCATCACTTATGGATTGGGCCCACGCATCAAAATCTTAATTATTAGCTTTCATACGAGAAAAGGAAAAAAAAAAAAAAAACAAGAGGTAAGGGATTAAAAAAAAATACTAAAAGTAATTGAGAGAATGATAGTCAATACGAAATGAAAGATAAACCAAGACATGATGTCAATGTGGAAGGATATCAATACCCACACCACCTTCTTCAGAGGATGATCAAGAAAGGTCAAGAAAACTTCTGTCCTAGTTAGGTTGTCACCCTTAGATTGAATGTGATTTTTTTTTTATTGTAAAAGAACTTAGTGTCCTTAATACACCTTCTCTACCACCTATGACATTTGAATATTTTAATACATAAACTATTTAGGAAACACAAGTGAAAATAATGAGTTCCTTCGTATTTCATTTGATTTGACAGATATTTGTGTGGGGCAATGATTTTCTTATTATTTCATAAAGTAGATGCATGTACGAAGTACACGCTTAAAGCTATTGGCTGATTGCTTTTTGACTTAATTGGTAATACTTTTATAAGGGCTTAAATAATATGTTTTTAGTTCCTAAATTTTAGTGATTTTCTTATTTTAATTCTTGCAAACAATATTTTAGCGACTTTGTTTTGGACTTCTGGTTCCAAAATTTTAGCAATTTTTCAATTTTTAATCCTTCCGACTAATTTGATAGCATCATAGTAAACTAAATCAGCAAGCCCAGATAAATCATAAACCATAATAAAAAGCTTACCACACCCATAAATAAATATTTTGTAGTAGCCTCGTTAGATGTTAGACATTAGACTGTACATCTTTCTTGGTATATCCAAATAGTAGATATTAAATTGTTAGCACCACATAAAAACATTCCTAAGATTCAAATATTAAATTCAAAACAAGCAATATTTCACCCATTGTAAAAGTATAACATGACAAAATAAAAACATGAAAAATTTAGTAATAACTTGTAACAGTAATATCTCAAATTGGTAAATTTTTTTAACTTTCTATTATTAATGGGGTTTTAGGAATGCTAATTTCTATTTATATTTGAGCACCTTAGCTTGAATTTTCTATTTACCTATCGTGCATTATTGTAAAATTCTTGTGATTTAGAGTCATGTATTTTGTAACATAGTTATCAATAGCAGTCATAGCGGCCGTTATCGCGGCAAAGCGGAGCGAAGTGGCGCAATTCCGCTATGGCAATCTTGTAGCGTCGCGGTTCAGTGTCGCGGCTGTCGCGCCGTGAATAACGACTAGAAATAACGAAAATCGCGGCTATAGCAGCCGCCGCTATTCTGTTCTGCTTAAAAATTCTAAATATACCATTTGTTTTTTTTACATTTGGAGCTTTTAAGGGGGCAATATTGGGATTTCAGCCCCCCCTTTATTTTCTGAATCTTCTCCCTCCCTCTCGCAGACCCTAGCCTCTCAACTCACCTTTCAACTCTCTCCTCAGCTCTCTCCTCGTTTCTTCTCTTTTCTCTCTGTTTTTTCTATTTCTTTCTTTGTTTTGATTCCCCTACTTTGTTCTATTTCAAATTTCAAAGCTTCAAGTAGAAACAATGGCTGTTCTTGCATCCTTTGATTTTTGTTATTTATTTCCTTCTTTAATTTGTGTTTTTCTTTTTTATTTTGTTCCAAATTTGTATATTAATTTTACATTTTTCAGCATGTATGTGTGTGCATTAAAACTTCAGAATAGCGGTCATCCCGCTACCGCTATCCCCACTATAGCGTTTTTGAGGCTAGCCGCTCCGCGCCGCTATCCGGAATTGACTACTATGTTTTGTAAGTGTTGTTAGGCAATTTAATGAATGATCCTTAACAGAAAGAGAAGGAAGTAAAATTGGAATTGATTAAAGTTATAAAATGAGCAAGATAAATACCTAAAATTCCTTCATAAAGGACACCACAATGGCTAACCGAAAAGAAGGTGAAAATGTAAAGCCCAAACCCAGCTCATGACCGTGAGTTTCAAAATCACATTAGCTTGATGGGATCTCAACAGTGTCTTTTGTTGTATGTTTTTAGGAGTAAAAATGTGACTCAGGAGCAGCCAAATAAAGAAATCTGATGACTATGATATATGAACCCTAAAACAAATATGCCATCTATTAACTCTACATTTAAAATAAAAAGATAAAAAAAAAAGCCCACTGATGTTTTTAAGACACCAAAAAATTTAATGATCTAAGCTTCATACTCAGCTGGAAATATCTTGAGTCCAAATCACAAGCAGAATCATTTTGTAAACTGTCATTTTAGAGTGATTCTTCCATTCAAATTCTGCTTGGGCCATCACACTGTGCTGGTGGTGTTGTCACCAGCAACCCAATACTTCTTGACAGCAAACAATACCTTCTCTGAAACCAGTGGACCATCCTCATGATCCACCATTTTGGTATTCCATCTCATTCCCCTCACAATTCTTTTCACCTGCATCAGTACATCCACTTGATCTCGGAATATCACTGCTCCTTCAGGCCGTAAGATTCGGTCCATCTCCAATAGAATGTCTTCGACATTGCATCTGCATTGAACATTTGAGTTAGGGAAAACCTGAAGTAGTTTGTTTCCCTTGCACACCAATCTCCAAGGTGGTTTCTATTACAGGTTCTGTTATAAACATTTAGTGTGCCAACCAATATATAATTGACTAATTATCTTTCTGATTACATAATCCAAGTGTGTAGACAACTAGCCATGAGAACTATATTTAATCTGGAAATATAAAAATGGAAACACGAAGAGATCAACGTACCCATCCTTGTACAAGCTGAAAACACCATTTGCATGGATAAGGTCATAGGTCCTTGGATATGTGGAGAAGGCTTCACACCTGGGTAGAAAATTGACAATTAATAACCAGAAAAAGGCTCTTTTTCATTCCCTTCCATTGAAAGCAAAATTTAGCAGCATTTATTTCTCAAGGTAGAAATCCTGAATGTAATCCTTGTAGATAAAGTTCAGCCAAACATGAATTATTTTTTAATATAATGCAAGTTTCTTTGCTTTTAACTAAATCATCATTGCAATTGCCAGTAATTAACTCAGATTATGTCCCTCAACAAAATGATTTTGACCAGCCTAGCAGGTTCAGTTTTGAACTAAGAAGGAATAATGACTCAAAGAAGAGTAGGGATGAACGGATATTGTACACAAATTGTGCAATAATACAATTCTACTGTGGACAAAGACAATTCTTTATCTAATATATTGCTTTTGTTGCTTCATCTCTTTTGCCTTTTCCTGGTCTTATATGCACTTTGGCCTCATCTTGTATCTTGGATGCAATATGGTTCCATCTACCATACAGTCCCTAATTTTTGTTGTATTTTTGCTTAATTTTCTGTGTGTTTAATTGTAACCCACTTAAAACTCATAATATTATCGTTGTAAGTCTAGAATATTTAGAGTATCTTGCACAAACTCTTAGAAGTGGTTTCTGTATTTCGTGACTTGTTCCTTATTTGATAAAAATTAAGCGTCTAGTATTAGTATAAAAGGAAGTAACTGCTTTCTATTTTATTACATATCATTACAAACTGGCATATACCATTATTATGTTCAATTATTCAGAGTTTGTTTCTCTTTTTCTCGACTAAAATCCATATAATTTCAACTCCTTTTATCTCTATTTTAATAAAACACAGATGGATCATCAAAATTACGATTAAATCACCAAAAAGTTCCCATTTGATTGGTTTAAAAAATTCCAACACACAAAATGTCAACTATTTACACTTCTTTTTGATTGGTGGAAGGTCAACATTACTCCAATCTTAGAGTTGACATCTTAATTTATAGATAAAAGGTCAAACTTCACAAAAGGTAAACAGCATAATGAAAAATCGAAGTTGCAGAGGAGAGACAAGATGGAAAAACAAAATAAAGGTAAAGAAACCATAATATAGAATTTACCAATCGTGATAAATGCCAATCAATCCACGCTCGAATATAACAGCCAGGTTAGCTTTCTCAGCAATTGTAGGCACAACATTCATAACCCATAATTTGGGAGAATTCAGAGCAGCAGCAAAACCTCCCAGACCAGCATTCATGTCCATTATGTTGCGGTATCTCCCAGACTCAAGGATTTTGTTGATCCGTTTGTATGCATTCACATGCTTCTTCCACAATCGGTTGTCCTCTTCAAATGCTTCCACAGATACACCAGGAATGGATCCACTGGAAATTCTGGAAGGAATGACATTGAGTCTCTCAGGGAATGGCTTCCATGAACCACTAGGTTTACTCGGAGTTACACAATTTTCCATTTTCTTGTACCTGGACATTGTCAGACCTTTTAGACAAGTGTTGAAATGAATACCTTAATCCAAAGGTTAGGAAATACAATATTAAATTTACATCATAAAAGGCTGAAGAAATCTGATCCCCAGAAAAACCAAGTTTCTCAAGTACTCAAAATCTTGAAAGACACCATTTTAACTTTTACCGGCCAAAGGATAATTCTTATATAATTGGTATAGAATAAGATTCAAACTTCTTGTATCCTTTCAATAACAAAGCTTAGAAAACATTTTGGGGCAAGTCACTAGGAGTTGCAACTAGCAACTCAAGGCAGAAAAGGATTGCCATTTTTTCAAAACGGGTCTATTGTTGTTATTCAGAAAAAATGAATTTAGAAGAAATTTTAGCAGTTATTTAAATTGAAATACATATAGAAATAGTGCTTCCAACTTGGCAAAGAATCTGATGCAAGAGTAGTGATAGGTATCTGACTTCGTGAACTTTAACTAAACAATGAAAGCAAAAAGAGGCAAAAGATGAGTGAAACAGTTTACCAGACATCATTAGACTTTGTGGTGTCACACATTGCAGATTGAGTATCTTGTTCACCACAATCATCATAATGTAATCGTTTTCTCCAGATCGCAATTTCACCCTTCTCGTATTTCTTTTCCCAACAAAGAAGTTTAGCAATGTCCTCAATCTGTCGTTGCTCCTCCTCAAGCTCATCTTCAGGACGTTGCCATGCTTGGTAGTTATTCTTCCAGTTGATAGGAGGACCAGAAAGTATCCAGTAACCACCAGGTTTAAGAACCCGATCAACTTCCTTCATGTACTTTCCATCTGAGACAAAAGTTACAACAAATACAGTTTAAAGATATTTTTACAACAAAAAAGCATAAATACTATTTTTGTTAACCATCTATCAAACAGTAAATAAGAAATCCTGAAACACTGGAAAAAAGAAAGTGTACATTAATCTGTTAAAGAAGAAGGGGGTTTTCAAAATCATTATAAATAACCAGGCCATAATTTAAGTATTAGAATTTAATTTACGCTGTCTAGGCCATTGTGAACAAATCCTAGCAGTTAACTACCCAACCTTATAAAATGTCAACTTTACATCCATTACAAGCTGAATCAGGCTTTGTATCATTGATATGCATGCATATATCATAAAAATGTTTATTTGTTATCCATCGACTATCACGGAATCATCTCCTAAAAAAATACCAAAAAATTTTATTTGTTGATCCAAAAGATATATTTTAATTGTTGTAGGCCAGAAACATCATAGTTACTCTCACCATTTGCACCCCATGGAATCAAGCAACGGGAACAGTGTGCCATGTCAAAAGATCCAGAAGGGAAGGGCAACATTATTGTTCCAAGAACACCAATGATTGCCGGAACACCTCTTTCCAAAGCAAATTGAACTTGTGCTTCATGAGAGTCCCTTGGTGCAATTGACATTGTAAGAACATTTTTCTTAAAGAGGTATGCACCAAAACTAGCAACCTAGCATCATCAATAATCATCAAATGAGCTACAATATAAAATAAATGGAAGCTACATGCCCTGTTAGAGGCTCAAAATTTGAAAAGAGAAACAGGAAAGAAAAATTGTGTTTCTATAAATATGAAAATTTTGCATGGATGAGCATTCAGAAGCAGAATGTTTCCATAGGAAAGCTTACAGTCATTAGCAAGGAATATCTCATTAAAACAACAAATTTTACATGTAAACATTATGTAGAGGCCGACAAAATAGATTCAGCCAAAAACAAGGATGGATTGACTTACCCCACAGCCTGTATCCAGTGCAGTTCTAACCATTCCATTGTCCAATGGAATAACAGACGCAAGTTCATCTATGTAAGCATCGGCTCCCTTGGGAAACTGCGTTCCGCCACCAGGGAACCTGAAAACATCTCCTTCATACTGTATCCAATTCTGCACAGCCTTCTCAACTGTCAGGCTCTTGTAAGGTGCATTTGCATATGGCACATAATCACGACTCTTGGGCCATGGAAATGGTGTTGCATATCCTCTCGGTGCAGGTACAAGACAATACAGTTTTTCTTCATCAGGAGGACAGTGCCTTTCCCTATAGTTCATATTTTCTCTGGGGAATGTCATTGCTCGTGCCTGATCATGACAAGGTGTGTAATCTATGTAGCGATCATCACACGGTTTGATGTGCTTGACTTGTGCTTTGGAACTATCTGGTGATCCAGCATCATCATCATTGTGGTGGGTCTCATAGTTTAGATCAGAGAGAACACTGCAATCCGTTTGTTTAGTAATCTCAACAGCTATGCTGTCTCCCTTTCCAAAACCACTCCGTTGCCACAAACCCAATATATAGAAGAAACCACACAAACCAACTATAATGAAAATAGAGGTTGAACTCCTATTGTTTCTATTATCTCCCGGGTTCCCTTTTGTAGCCATGACGAATCTCTACAATAGAATCGCTGCACGGTTGAAGCAAAACATATTAAGGCGTAAACACGAATTGAACTAACTAGAAAGATGGATCCACTTAGACCAATTCAACCATTGATCACAACAATCAATACAACAGAGCATAACTTTCAACAAAATGATTTACACAATTCCATCATATAATTGTTTTAAATCACTGTTTGCAACTAACCTGGTGCGGTCCACATTTCAAACTCTTATGACAAATTAATTCCTGCACCAATCTTAATAAACTAACCTTCTACACTGAACACATCAAACTGTGAATCAATTTAACTAACACGACCGCAACCTCATGATATTCTTTTAATTTCAGAACCATAAGTCTATAGCATAACGAATCAAGCAAGAGTGCAAATTCACAGGAAAATAAAAAAGATTAAATTGGAATTTTATTCAATCAAACAGTTCTTCTAATCAAATCCACCCTTCCTCTTCATAAATAAAATAGAGGAAAAAAAACAGAAAAAGAAAATCCGTTACAGCGGTTAACAAAAGCCGTTAAAATAAGGAGATGGTAATGAGGAAGTGAAGAGAGAGTCATCGCTTACTGGTACGAGGACGAAAGCAAAAAAAAGAAACGATGAAAATCCTGGGTGGTGGTGGGTCCTATGGAATCAAATTACGCATCTTCATCATTGGAAATTGGGAAGGATCTATGGTGCAGATAATGAAAAGATTTGAAACAAAAAAGGATTTAGATTTGTTGTGTTTGAAATGCAGAAGTGGCAGGAAACGGGTGTTTGTGTCTTGTTTCTTGTTTGTTTCGTGTGATTAACATAGGTGTTCCGAAAAGTCCGAGGGCACGCAAATGTCTCAGTGCGGGTGCTTCTTCACTCTTTCGTAGGAATAGTATTTTTATTTTATTGGTTGGTTAACTAACTTCACGCTTCAAATTAAATCTTATCCTTTTATTCCGAATGGACCCCCACTTCACTTTGTTCAATCGCAACCGTTCACTCCCCATCGTTCGAATCTACTCATTTTCTATTATACCAAGATATCAAATCCAAAATCATGTTGTGTACCATAAATCCAAATTGTTCGATACAAATGTATGGTGAGGGTTGACGCTTAAATGAGTTAGTGTTTGTGAAATACATGAGTTATAAATAAGTTAATAAGATAAATATGGTAAAAGTTATAGGATTTATAATGTAATTATTAATAAATTTTGCAGGTTAAATATTTTTAAATAGTAAATATTTAAAATAAATTATTAGAAAGTAGTTTTTTTTAAATAAAAATATTTTAAAAATATAATTTTAACAATTATGAAAGTAAGTTTTCTTTTTTCATTTATATAAAATTTAATATATTCTCTCCTATTCACTTATTTTTATTTTTTAAGTTAGTTTAAATATTTCTTTTATATTTTTAATAACTAGTTCTAATAATTAGTTTGATAAATTTAATAATTATAGTTAAAATTTAAGTGATAAAAGTTTGAAAAAGATATCTAAGATAAGAGATTAAATGAAATTAAATAATTTTTTTCTTAAAATAGTGACTTAGAAGTTTTGTTTAATTCATTCTTATTTTATTTTAATTTTTTTTTATTTCTTCCTCCCAACAGCATATAAACATATTTAACAAATTTAACAACCTAAATAATCATAGTCACTTTTTACTATTATATTTTAATTTGGGATTTTGTAAACGAAATATTAAATTTGTAAACATTATATACGCATTTCAATTCTATTAGAAACCAATGACTTACCTAAACCAGAATATAAATAATGACCAAAGAGATGTAATTTAATACTAAAAAATATAGAAAAATTATTCTTTATGATTTTTACTTAAGTTAATTTTATACTGTGATGAACATACAAATTTCTTCAATATTCACTTACGTTATTCTTTTTAAGTTAAGTCAAGTTGATTTCGCTTAAGTCATAATAATTTGGCTTAAGCGAAAATATGCTACCAAATCTTAGTTTAAACTAAATTTTATTTATTTAAATAAATATTAAAATATCTTGTGTAATTTAAGCAAATTAATAACTTTTTAAAAAAAAAAATTTGTAACTTTTGTTTAAGTAAAAATGAAATTTGTAAAAATCATGTAGAGAAAATACAACCAATGTACATGAAAAACATGAAAGAGATCTAAAATGACATTGAACAATTTATCAATATATAAGTTAATTTTCATGATAAATTAAACTGTGAAAGTAAATATAAAAGTTTTAATTTTATAAATCATAAATTTCATACACAAAGTTTGTAGAAAAATCCTAAAGATCTAAAATGATATTTAATATTTTATTAATTTAATATTTATTTTTAATTATATATTAAGACTACATATGTGAATGAAAATTTTATTAAAATTACTGTCTATATACAAAGTACATATAAAATTTAATTGAAAAAATAAAAAATAACTATTAATACAACTATACAAAAATATAAAATAACAAGTTTTAAAGAGTTAAAGAGTTAAAGAGTGATTTTATATTATAAAAAAAATAATTTTACAAATTTTTATAAAAAATTAAATCATAAATATATAAAAGATAGGATTATTAAGTTACATGTAAAAACTTAAACCGTTTATTTTTAAAAAAAATATATATTTAACAATTTACAAAACTCTCGATGATACACCAGTTAGTTATCATTCGTGTGTTAGCCCCAGTAAAATTGTAGTTAAAAAAATTTGAATGTACTAAACATTGTGCGGAAATAATCAAGCACCCATGAATGCATTAATTGACTATGTATGTGACTTTAGATTTTATTTACAAAGTCTTTTTTTAGCTCTGTATTGATTGAATTGAGACAAATAAACCAAATGACAAATAAAGTTTTTAAAGTTTGAATAATTTATATTATGAATTTAATTGGAATGTATTGATAATATAAATATTATTTTTTACAGTTATCTAATATTATCCAGATTTATTGTCTTTTATATTAATCAATTTAAAATTCATATTTATTGTATATTATAATTATAATTGATAGTTTAAAAAAATTATATTATGTAATGGCTTATGATAATGAAGCTGAAGTAGAAGAGGATGGAAGTGATTTTGTCACCAGCCCAATATTGAAGAGCAGGCCCAAACGTAATAGAGTTAAGCCAAAGTATTTTGCAGACTATGATTGTAGTGTTAAGGATAAATTATAGAAAAGCATATCCAGAAACTACATGAGCTTTTGCGTGGCCACTCTTATCAGCAAGAGTGATAACGCACAGAATCGGAATTTCTATAAATACCTGTTTTAAGCTCAGAACTCGGGGTCTTTGGTTCATTTTTCATTTTTTCTGTTAGATTCTCGTTGAGAGAGTGAGAGAGAGGATTGGGGTCGAATTTCGAAGTTCCAAGAAGAGGCATTGGATTGGAGCTCGTGGAGATGACTTCTCTGTAATTCTTCTCTTCTTCTCCTTCTCTCTCTTTCTCTGTTACAATGTTTGCTTAATTCTCCATAGTTAGGAGTTTATGGATCTTGAATTGATGTATTAATTCGACTTTTGCTTCTGAAATTTGAGTTCTTGGATTAATTGAATTGTTAATTCTGCTATTATTGCAATCTGTGAATGGAAATTCGTATTGTTAATCAAAGAGGAACATTTACCAATGGAAGTTGGATTTGCTTCTCTGATCTGAGTTAGCAATTAGAATTGGGGATTTCTTAGGGATAAGGAGACCTAATTCTACAATTCTAAGGTTCCAAGTCTTAATGCAACATGAAATTGAACTTCACCTAAGGGATTAGAGGGTTTTAGTTGCTTGTTAGGTCAATGATTTAAGGAATTAAACTTTGACTATTAATAAGAGAAACTGATTGGCAATTAACTAATTACTTGAATATTTAGAGGCATGATTGAATTGATATTGACATTCTTGTGAAATAAATTTCTAACTATTCTTTATTCCTATCTCATTTCAGCACAACTTTCATACTCTGTTTTTACTGCAAGTTTCTTACCTTTTAATTGTTCCTAATCTTGATTTCTGAATGTTACAAATCTTCCAATTTCTTATAGCTCAAATGGTTATTATTCTGTGAATTGATAATTGATTTCCTAATTCCCTGTGGAGACGATATTCTGATCTTAAAAATTACTCATTACTTGTTGCAATTCCTAGTGCACTTCCTAGTGTTTAGAGATTGTAAACACAAGTTTTTGGCGCCGTTGCAGGGGAAATTTGTGTTTCAATATCATTAGTAGCAGAGAGGTAGCTAGATTGAGCATTTATTTTTGTTGTTTTGCTTCCAAATTTTTCTGCATGATTTTTTTTCTTTTTGCATTTTGTATAGTTTTATGCACTATTTTTTGCTATTTTTTTTCATTTTTCTGCATAATTTCATTTTTCATTTCTCTAAATCATTTTCTATTGAATTATGCATAATTCTGCAGTTGCTAGATTTGAATTTTATATGCTTTTGCTGATATCTTTTGCATAATCTTTGTTGTGCATTTCTGAATACTGATTTGTAGTCTAATTTTGTTTCATTTTGATTTGTATATGCGTGATAAAAACAAAAATAAATCAACTCTGGCCTTTGATCCTGACATAGACATAACCTTAAGAAAATTAAGAAAAGAGGCTAGAGCAGAAAAATTCATAGGAAGTGATAGTGAATTAGAAGTTGTCTATTCTCCAGAAATTCAGAATACTCCTAGAGTAAAAAGAACACCTACACCTTTGAGACAACCAAATCCAGAAATAGAGATGGCAGAACAGAATAGGATTAGAACATTAGGGGACTATGCAATTCCTAACATGCAAGGTTTTAATTCTTCAATAATTAGGCCAACTATCCAAGCCAACCATTTTGAGATTAAACCTGCCCTATTACACTTTGTCCAACAGGATCAGTTTTCTGGTGGAAATTCTGATGACCTTAACCTACATATTTCAAACTTTTTGCAGCTATGTGATACCGTAAGAATGAATGGGGTTAGTGAAGAAGCCATCAGACTGAGATTATTTCCCTTTTCCTTGAGAGATAGAGCCAAATGTTGGTTGCAAGCTCAACCACAAGGAAGCATCACAACTTGGACAGAGCTAGTGAATAAATTTCTAACCAAGTATTTTCCTCTATCCAAAGCTGCTAAGCTGAGAGGAGAAATTACATCCTTTGTGTAGCAGGAAGGAGAATCCTTGTATGAAGCTTGGGAAAGATACAAAGAATTACTGAGAAGGTGTCCACATCATTGTATCCCAGATTTGACGCAATTGGAGACTTTCTACAATGGGATAAATACATCAACAAGAACAATGGTTGATGCTGCTGTTGGAGGTTCCTTAAATACAAAGTTTTTAGAAGAAGCCCAGAGAATTATTGGGATGATGGCATCTTCAATGTACCAAAATTCAAACTCAAGAAATCAAGGAAGAAACTCTGGTTATGAAGCTAAGGTTTTGGAAACCTTTCTTGCATAGAACCAGCTACAAAATCAGATGTTTTCAGAACAAATAGCTGTTCTAACTCAACAAATCAACAATCTTCAAGCAGGGAATATGCCTACTAGTCAGCTAAACTGTGATTTCTATGGAGGAAATTATGTCAATGGTGCATGTGAGGCATCTACAAGTGAATCATAGGAACAAGTGAATTATATGAATAATTTTCAGAGACAATAATCCTCATATCCTCCTGAATTTCAATTTTTGAATAATAGAAGTCAGCAGTATTCTAATTAGAATAATCAATATTCTACTGCCAAGACTTCTAACTCCAATTTACCTTTTTCTAATACAGGTCCAGCAGCACAACAATCTTATTTTCAGAGGAATCCATCCACTCAACCTCAAGGAACTCAAAAATTATCCAAACCTATGAATGAAAGGTTGACTTAGATGGAGGAAACCATGCTGCAGTTTATGAAGGTG